AAGGCAATCAGTGGTTAAACTGAAACTGTACACAAGGGCCAGTTTGGGAATACTGACACCAGGCATTTAGTTATTCTTCTTTCCATTTCTATTTTGCCCTCTGGTTCTAAAATATCAGGGCAGTTTTCCTTGATAATTTCTTAAAAGATGATGTCTAGGCTCTTTTTTTGATCATGGCTTTCAGATAGTCCAATAATTTTTAAATTCTCTCTCCTGGATCTATTTTCCAGGTCAGTTGTTTTTCCAGTGAGATATTTCACATTGTTTTCTAATTTTTCATTCTTTTGGATTTGTTTTACAGTTTCTTGATTTCTCATAAAGTCACTAGCTTCCAATTGCTCCATTCTTATTTTTAAGGAAGTATTTTCTTTAGTAAGCTTTTGAACTTCCTTTTCCATTTGTTCAATTTTGCTTTTTAGGGTATTCTTATTGGCTTTTTGGACCTCTTTTGTCATTAGGGTTAGGCTATTTTTTAAGGTGTTATTTTCTTCAGTATTTTTTTGGGTCTCCTTTAGCAAGCTGTTGACTTGTTTTTCATGATTTTCTTGCATCACTCTCAGTTTTTCCTCTACTTCTCTTACTTGCTTCTCAGAATCCCTTTTGAGCTCTTCCAAGGCCTGGGACTGATTCATATTTTTCTTGGAGACTTTGGATGTAGGAGCTTTGACTTCGTTGTCTTCTTCTGGTTGTACGTTTTGATATTCTTTGTCACCAAAGTAAGATAATATAGTCTGAGTCTTTTTGCGCTGCTTACTCATGATCCTGGCCAATTACTTGAGTTTTAACCTCTTTGTTAAGGTAAAAGTCTGCTTCCAATGTGGAGAATGTACTGTCCCAAGCTTTAGGGGTTTGTACAACTGTTTTCAGAGATACTTCTAGGGATCTGAAAATTTTCAGTTCTTCCAAGGTGGTATGATAAGGGACGAGGTGTTTCCTCTCCACCGCCACAACAAGCTCCACCACGCCAGCACTCCTCTTTGCCCCAGGACCACCCCTCAGAACTGTGACCTAGATCCAAGCACGGGCAAAGCAAGAGATTCCTGCCTCAGCACTGGCAAAGATCCCTGCAATCCTGCTCTGATCAGCCACTCGATTCCCCCTCAGTCTGTGGGCTGGAAGCTCAGGAAACAGCCGCGGCCCTGGGCCATGCTCCAGACTTGTGGCTGAGACCTAGCTCCTCTCTCACCGCAGTCACAGACTTTTGCCACTGACCTTCCAAGTTGTCTTTGGCATTCATGGGTTGAGAAGTCTGGAAACCACCACAGCTACCCGTGATTCAGTCCTCTGAAGCCTGCTCCAGGGTCGCTGCGGCCTGCGCTTCTCTCCCCGCCCGGCGCGATATACCTTTCCATCAACCATCCAGGTTGTCTTTGGCTGGAAATTTGTTTCGCTCTGTCTTTTTGTGGGTTCTGCTGCTTTAGAATTTGTTTAGAGCCATTTTTGTATAGGTATTTGGAGGGGTTTGGGGGGAGATCTCAAGCAAGTCACTGTTTTCCCTCCGCCATCTTGGCTTCGCCCCCCTCCATTTAGTTATTCTTAAGTCCACAACTGTGGACTGTCTACTCTGACTATCCATGAAAACTCACCCACAATACACAAACTAGTCTTGAAACAGGCGTTTCAAAACAGTGGTAGGCTCTGACATTGTCCGACATCAAGTCTGAAAAATGGCTACAGCTGGCATGTCTGGATCAGCACTTCTTAAACTGTGGGTCACCCCATATGGGGTCACGATCCACAGTTTAAGAAGTGCTGAAGGGGTCACAAGTGGGAAAAGTTTAAGAAGCCCTGGTCTAGGTGATTGAAGGAATGCAGTGCCTCTTAAAGATGGGGAGGAGGAGGAAGAGCCGAGGAATAGGATAGAGAGGTGCTCTTCTTATTTTGGGATGGCTGAACATGAGGTAATGGTGAGACACCCAAGTGAAGAGAGGCAAGTACAGGTGAGAAATTGGGACTGGTGATACAGATTTGGGGATCATCAGTAGAGAACTAATTCAACTAACAGGGATAAGAAAGTTCCCAAGACGGATCCCTGGCAGACATGTAATGATGTGGAGGATGAAGAGATGTGTCTGAAAAGGAAGAAACCTACCTTACTTGACATTGAGCTTCTAGTCTCTCTTCTTTGCAACCCGTCCTAAACAAATTGTCACAGTAGTCTTAGAGCATGTTTTTGAGAGTGTTGTTGCTCTGCTCATTGCCTCACAAATGAAGTACCCATCCATTTGTGAGGAGTCATTGATCTTTCCAGCCTTGGTACCCTTTGTGTCTCCAGGTGAAGACATTTTATATTTTTGTGTGTCGATGTTTTATCATCTCAATCAAATTTTACGTTTTCTGAGGGAGCTGTTGTTTACTTTGGAATTTCTTAGAGGAGGTAGCACACATTACCTTCTAGCATGTAGTATATGCTTAATAAGTATTGAATTCTTGAAGTGAACTGGGAAATTGAATCAATACAGAGGCAAACGAGAGTTAGAGGATCGTGTACTCAACCACATAATATGGTATAGAGTGTCCAAGGGAATGAAAACTGAAAATAGCCCTTAGGCAGAAAAGAAGATGTTAATTCACCGAGTGATGGGAGCGTTCTTCAGTGCTTCATTAGAACTGTGGAGGTAGCAGGCAGGGCACCCTGGAAAGAAGCCAAGTATGAGGCCTCGCTCTGCCACGTGCCCACACCATGACCTTCCTTGGAAAAGTCATTTTACTTGCCTGAATCTGTTCCACCAGCTCCTAAATGAGGAGAATAGACCTGGCACTAAGTTTTTCCTAGGGCTATGATGAGAGGAATGTGCTTTGTAACCTTAAAGCCAGAGATGGATGTGGACCTTCAGGCTTATTGTTAATAAATAAATGTGAGCACCAGCCAAAGCACTACCAGCAGCCTAGTGTTAGTCTTCTCCAAAAGCTGGAGTTAGCTCCTCTGCTAAGAGAAAAGGGCATCATGGAACTGAAGAAGGGGGGGAGGGAGGAGAAGGGCTGAGTGACTTGTCTGATGATGCTCCTGGAAGCTGATTAAGGACAAATATAAGAGCTGCTTAGTGACAAGTGCCAGGCTGAGACTGAACACAAGTTTGTAAGGGGCTTTGTTTCCTCTTCCTCCTGTGCCCTAGTTTGGGAGCAGCAGTAGAAAAAGTCAAAGACAGTCTACTTAGGGTTAGAAATTGGTTCAATGGAGTGCGAGGGGTATAGATTCTAGTATGTTAAGGAGGGGTGGGGTTCAGCTTTGAAATGATAGGATGGCATCTAGTTGAGTCAAGAGGGCAGATGGACTAGCTGAAATGATGTTAGTTAAGAGAATGAAAACTTTATGAAGGTTACATTGCATGGATAGGATAGAAAAACAGGAGAGCTGGTAGATAAGGTGGGTTCTGGCTAGTAGGGGAGTAATGAATTCAAGATCTGAGCCTTCCACAGAGGTGGATAAATGTCTGTAATGACAAGATTTAGGTTTCTATGAATGATATGGAATGAAAATGGCAATACTCTAAGTGAAGAAAAGTAAAGTGCTGTAAGATCTAAAAGGCTGAAGCATCATTAACGTACTACATGAATGTTATGCAGGAAGATGTTGGAGAATAGGATGGAGAAGTAGGTGAGCCAGGAGCAAAAGTCCTTTTCAAAGTCAGGAAGAGATCCTGTGGGGGGCAGGTAGCAGAACAGGGATAAGCCTGGGCTTCCAGTGATGAAACAGGCTGTTTGCTTAGTCACTGATATAGACGGCTTTGGAAACATAGAAGGAGGCCTACATCTATCTGCCTTTCATCTTTGTCTCGGGATGGGGAGGAGTGCCATCTTTTGAGTCAATTTTATTTTAGGAAAGGGAGAAAAAGAAGTGAGAGATAGGGTTAGAATAAAGGGAAATTTGCCCACAGTAGAGTGAATATCATGTTTACTCCTTTTAAAATTTTCAAATCAACAATTTTAAAAAGAGAAAGATTATTTATATATTGGCATCCAGACTTTTTATCATTCTGTAACATACCAGTAGTACAAGGCTGCTTTGTGTCAATCAAAAAGCATTTAAGTGCCAACTATATGTATGCCAGACACCGTGATCAGCTGCTGGGGATACAAAGATGAATATAGAGCTTAGATATTATTGGGGAAACAACCTGTGCACATGTAAGTATATTCAGAATATGTACAAAATGAATACATGGTTCCTTGGGGAGGAGGCATGCTAGTAATTGGGAAACATGGAAAGGGCCCCTTGTACATCTGGATGGATGCTTTTCTTCTGTCGTCTTTTTCACTGTCCTGGAACACAGGGAAAGAGCTTGCCCCTCTTGGACAGATGAAAGGGGATTTTTTTCTTTGATGCCTAAATTTGTTATTACTTAGAATTTTCAGTGAATCATAATGTAGGCATCACCAGTGGCATTCTGGCCTTTTAATGGTGTTAAAAACATGTCTTCTCCCTTATCTGGCCCTCCCCCCAGCCATGTTTTAACTATATGGGCTTCAAGGCAGATCAGGGTGGAAGCAGAATCTTCCTTCAGATAAGCCTTAGCTTATTGACATTCTCTCCATTTTGTAAGACTTTGAAAGGCACCTTTTCGGAAGCCACTGCTTCTGGGTGGTGGGTGATACTTTGTGTATGTTGAATGGCATTCACCAGAGAGAGCCGGCAGGTCACTGGGCAGTAAATTGTAGATAAACTTACTTTGTATTTCCTAAAGAGTTTGGACTTAACATGCTATTTTTTAATGTTGTATGCCTGTATGTATTGGTTTAATGAACTTAGTCTCATAGTTTCCTGGGGCTTGGGAGCATATTCCATATATGTTCATTCCATCACATTTGATTCATAATTTAGACCTTCAGTAAATACATTTGTGACATTGCTGTGCTGGCCTAAAAGCCTATTTGACTAAAAAAAACTAATCTGGCATGTTCTCATATAAGAATGGAATAAGTATCCAGATTATTTAATTTTTTTAACATGAAAAATGGTACAGTAAATATAACTTTTTTTTTTTTTTGATTTTTTATAGAGACTGCCTGGCATTTTGTACAGAACCAGTATGTGCAAGTTTAGCCAATGTTCTTGGGAACTGGGACAATCTGCCTTCCTCAGGGTCCCCTGACATTAAGGATTATAAACTTTATGATGTCGAAACAAAATACGGATTACTTCAGGTGTGTGCATATCTCTGCTGAATTTTTTTTTAATGCATAAACTAACTTTAAAAACTGTATTTTCAGCAAGAATAAGTTATGTGTATTTCCCTCTATATGTCAATATAGTCTTGTTTATAACTTTTATTTTGAAATGTTATCCTTACCTTAAGTTAAGCTTTCATGTTATAATATTTTATATTTGTATAGTGTTTTATACTTTACAAAATTCTTGCATACATTTCTGTGTATTTTTCATTAAACTGTTGAAGATTTGCCTGAGTTCTTGTGAGTAAGTAAAACAGACAATAGGGTCTTCATAAAAATTTTGTTATTTTTTTTAGCTCTTTAAAGTAATCCTTTAGTTAGTTTTTTGGTGTCATACTTAAGTCTGTAGGTTAGTTTAGGTAATAGTGTCATTTTTAGTATGTTGCCACAGCTTATCTTTGAGAGGTCTCTGTTAAGCAAAATGGTCTTGATGACTTTAATCACTCCAAAATCCAAGTGTCGTTGAAAATGGTGTTCATGTAATTCCTAGATCTTGACTAAGAAAAATTAAGCATCATAATCTGTGTATACCTGAGGTACTTAGAAATTATTTTTGTGTTGAAAAACATTTCAAATAATGTTTTAGAAATGTAATTTTTTGTTAGTTTTCTATTCCACAGTGAAAATATCAAGTTGAGAAAAGGAGAATTTGAGGTGGAGACAAGATAAAGCTTAAATTTCATTTTTAACATTAAACAAAACAGACCAACCATTTTAATCAGTTTTTCATCAATTTAACAGTAATATTAGGCATGAATATAAAAGTTGCTGAAGATACTATGGAATTAGTGTAAAATTAGTTTATGCTATATTGGATGTTTGAAAGATAAGTGTGTACAAGATTGTTAGATTCCATGTAGGATATCATAAAGCATTTAATTGATTTCAAATAGTGAAACTTTGGAGGAGATTGCCAAGTGCCCTTTAAAGCATTTTCTTTTTTCTTTGCTTACTAGCATTTACTGAAAGGAATTTAAAAATACTTGCTTTGTACTTTTTGCAAATAACTTTTTTCTTTTTCTCTTTATAAATGGAGTTTTAATTAGTGTTTAATCTCAAAAAAGTGACTAATACAGTTTTTCTTAATATTAGACATGGGGAACTAAAGAATTGTGATAAGTCATATCAAATTTTCTGTAAGTGGTCACTTTTTTTTTTTTTACTTATATAAGTTTGAGTATTATTAGCAAGAAATGAGCCTTTTTTCCATTTACAGGTTTCTGAAGGATTGTCATTTTTACATAGCAGCGTGAAAATGGTTCATGGAAACCTAACTCCAGAAAATATAATATTGAATAAAACAGGAGCCTGGAAAATAATGGGCTTTGATTTTTGTATACCATCAACAAATCCTTCTGAACAAGAGGTAATGGTATTTTCCCTGTGTAAAAAACAAAACAGTACCTTAGCTATTACATTTAAAATGGATTGTAGAAAACGGTTTTCTTCGAAATTTTTCAGAGGAGTAATACAAGTGTAAGTAGTACTGACAGTGCTGAAGTTGCAAAATCTGTTTTCAGAAAATAGCCCAGCTGTAATGAGAGTGGTCATTGACATCTCTGTAGTGCCTTAAAGTGGGCAAGGCACACTCCATAGCATCATCTCCTTTGAGCCTCACAACAGCCCTTTGTGGCAGGTTCTACTGGTACTACTGTCCCCATTTTAGAGATGAGGTCATTGAGACTAAGACAGATTAAGTGACTGGCCCTTGGTCATACAACTAGTATCAAAATAAGATACTTATTCAGCTTCAAGATTTCAGGTCTGTCTACTGACTGGCTACTTCTCAGTGTTATAAGTAAGTCTATTATTGATAGAGAAAAGTTATACAATTCAGTAGAAATGTTAACATTGGAAAACAAGTGTATAAACATGTGAACTTTACACTACATAATGTAACAGATTTTTGCTGTGAGTAGTAATTATTATAACTAATTTTACCTGTGTTGTGCTTAAATTTATATAATAATGAACTTTTAAAAATAAAACCTCCCCAAAGTTCAGTCTTCATTACATATATGGTGGAACATCTGCAAATCTTGTGTTTTCTACTCTGTGAAATTTAGAGCACTTGTCAGAAAATACTTATCCTAATTCTTACTATTAATAATAACATGTTAAAATTTGCTTTTGGGAGGTAAATTTCAATAGCCTCAAGAATGTTATTAAAACTCTTCTGTACTGTGGCCGTATTTTACTGATTACTTGGTTGGAGCTTACTTTTTTGGGGGGGGGAGGGGGAGGCAGCATGTCAGTTTGCATGGTTGATTGTGAGTTTGGGAGTAAATTGCTGTTTAAGCTTAATCAAATTTTAATTTAAAGTTCCTAATACATGTGCTTTTATCTCTCTTCTCTCCCCTCCCCCTTTTTAATAGCCTAAGTTTCCTTGCAAAGAGTGGGATCCAAATTTACCTTCATTATGCCTACCAAATCCTGAATATTTGGCTCCTGAATACATACTTTCTGTGAGCTGTGAGACAGCAAGTGATATGTACTCTTTAGGAGCTGTTATTTATGCTGTATTTAATAAAGGAAAACCTATCTTTGAAGTCAACAAGCAAGACATCTATAAGAGCTTCAGTAGGCAGTTGGATCAGGTACTTCATTTGCTGTGGCCCCCACATGTTTCAGTTTCTCAGTTATTTTGAAGACAAACTATCTAAAATGGAATAAGGTTATAGTATTGCATTTTAAAATTGCATATAAATCAGATTTAACTTAATTTTGTAGATGTAACGTGAGTAATGATATATGTTCATTTGTTGTGACAGTTTGAAATTTAGCTTTGTTTGCAAAGCTTCATTTAAAAAACATCTCTAAAATATGTAAGATGTTTATAAGAAGGTTAGTGGTTTTTCTTTTAGTAGCATGGATGAGTAGTATGATTTTAACTAGTATCTTAGTTAATTTAGTAGAATTAGACATTTTGGGTGTCATTTTTAAATATTTAAAAAGGTTATTTGAAAATAATATAATTTGATTCCCTTTTGCATAGTTTTTTTTTTAAATTCTGCATTATATTTAATCATTCTTTTGATTAGCTGAGTCGTCTAGGATCCAGTTCTCTTCAGAACATACCTGAGGAAGTTCGGGAACATGTGAAATTACTTTTAAATGTGACTCCTACTGTCAGGCCAGATGCAGATCAGATGACAAAGGTGAGTGTATTAAAGGGATCATCTCAGGTGGATGAAACCTTCATTTTCAATTATTTTGCCATATAGTATTTATTATCAACATTTTTATTTCTAGATCAGATTGTTATGTACCCGAGGAACATCTTATGCTCTTCATGCAGATTGAAACAGTAGAACTTTATAGAACTTTGCTCATAAAACTAATATTTCAAATGAATAGAATCTTAACAAGAATGATGAGTGAACCTTGAGAGTGTATCGCATCTTAACGTAGATAGTGTCATGGACTCAATGACTTGATCTCTCCTCTTCCTCCACCCCTTCTCTTTTTCTTTCTCCTTCTCTGTCTCCCTCTCTGCCTCTGTCTCCCTCTCTGCCTCTGTCTCTCTCTGTCTCTCTCTGTCTCTCTGTCTCTCTCCCTCTCTCTCTCTCACTCACTCACACATTGATTCACTGAAGTTTTCAATGGTAAATATCACAATTGGTCTTTGAAATATGTTAAAAGTGTTGAGAATTGAATAGTGAGTGAGGATGTAATACAAGCAACAGGACTATTGGGTATCTTTCATTTTAATTTTTCCAGCTCTGTTGTCATCCTCTCTGTGGCATTAGGGGAGTTATTTAGTCTCTCTGGGTCTTAATTACCTTAAATAAAGAAAGAATTCATTTCAGCACTAGGTTCTGATCGTCGTCAAAAATTCTGTGATCCCTTACATTTAGATTCCCTTCTTTGATGATGTCGGTGCAGTCACGCTACAATACTTTGATTCCTTATTCCAAAGAGATAATCTTCAGAAATCACAGTTTTTCAAAGGACTCCCGAAAGTTCTACCCAAACTACCCAAGGTTTGTTTTTGTTCAGTTTGTTATTGTGACCTAGATTTAAAAATCTTAAGCTGATAACTGATTTAACCCGGTGGTTGGCCCAAAGAAACGAGGACATCTACTTGTAAGCTTAGGCTTCTCGGGGACTGTCTCAGCTTCAGTCCCTAAAACCAATGGGGAGACTTGGTTTGGAAGGAAGGGAGGTCAGAGAAATACCTTGAAGGTGGAAATGAGCTTTGAACTGGTCAAACCAGGGAAAGGCTGCTTGCTGGGATGGAAAACTTAGAGGAATGGTCATGACCGTTCGGGTTTGTGTACACCAAACAGTAATTTTTAGTGAATGAATTCCTTGTGACATAAAAATTAATCTTCTTATTAGTCAGTAAACATGTCAATCAATCATTCATCAGCAATGCTGGGCATTTATTAAGGACCTACTAAGTGTTAGGCTCCTTGCCCTCAAGGAGCTAACCTTTTGCCTGGGGGGCACACTATGTACCCATATAAATGTGTATTAGGAAGAACAGGGGCTCTGGTATAGGAGGAGATGGAGTTTAATTTGGGCTGTGCTCTGTGAGAGTCTGAGTGACTTTGGACAAGTCACTTTTCTTGCCTGAGCCTCGTTTTCCTCGTTGGTAAAATTCGGAACTTGGACTAAATGATGTCCAAGGTTTCTTCTTGCTTGAAATCATACTATTCCTGTACTATTGGAGCCCTCAAGGTCATGTCATAGAGGACAGTTTTATGAATTGATTTATCCCTTAGCACACAGTGTTAGGCTGATGAGGGTCTCTGCCTTACCTAGCGAGACTGGTCCTCACATTGTAGGGTTTTTCTCTGTGGTGTTAGACCTTCAGGAGCTTGCACTCCATTGACATGGCTGTCAGGAATCCTTGGTTACTGCAGTAGGGTAGAAGTGCGTAAGATATTTCAAGTTTATTTAATTTTTTTATTTTGTATAGTAGATGTAGAAAGAATTTTCATATAGTTGTCTTACCCAGTTCTTGTGCTTTTTCCCTCTTGCAGCGTGTGATAGTACAAAGAATTTTGCCTTGCTTAACCTCAGAATTTGTAAACCCTGATATGGTACCTTTCGTTTTGCCCAATGTTCTACTGATTGCTGAGGAATGTACCAAAGAAGAATATGTCAAGTTAATTCTGCCGGAACTTGGCCCCGTCTTTAAGCAGCAAGAGCCTATTCAGGTGCGTGTGGAGCCTTTCTGGAGCCTTTCTGTGCATTGGAATCAGTTTTGGTAACTACTTTGTATGTAGTCTTGTCTGTGTGGTCAGCCAGCTTGGAACAAGGAACTAGTTCCTTCAGGCACAAAAGAAAATTGTGGGTTAAGATAGCAAGGTAGATTTATCAGGACTTTGGAGGCTTTTTAATTACTTTTAAACATAGATAGCATTATAGGGTATGACTGGGATTGTTCTAGTGATCTGCCTTCTGAAATGCAATCACATGCTTGAGTTGGTTTGTGTTTTTTTGTCTTTCATGCCTTCAGGCCAGCAACATGGTAAGTTTATTCTTTTTAAGACATTTCATGTGTTGGGTTTTTTAGAAGTTTTATATCTATCTTGGTAACCCTTTATAATTTTCATGTGGTTTACTTTTTTAAAACAGATTTTGTTAATTTTCCTACAAAAAATGGATTTATTGCTAACCAAAACACCTCCGGATGAAATAAAAAACAGTGTTCTACCAATGGTTTATAGAGCCTTAGAAGCCCCTTCCATTCAAATCCAGGTAAGATTGCTGACAGGGAACAATTTTAGAGGCTTGATTCTTAAAGCAAAAGAAACATGGGAAATAAATTTTGTTTTGAAAATTTGAACAAAAATTGTTGGAAACTTGTTTATTATTCTGCTTATTGCATTCAGAAGGCCATTTTGATTGCTACCTCTTTTTAGGGAATATTAGATTCATATCAGTTGGGCCAGGGTGGGATTTGCTGACCAGTTAGACTTCCAAATAGCATGACCCTCCTCTTGAGTTGGAATTGGAGCATTGGGCTCAGCAAATATTAATTGGTGGTGAATATTGCAACGAATATTTAGTATTTTTTCTGGGAGTTTCAAGGTTGTTTGGTCTGTTGAAAAGATCTTGAAACTAGCATTTCTGGTATTTCCCTACACAGTTACAATATAATAAGCAGATAATTTAACCACAGGGTCATCATTGTTTTGAAAGAGGCCCGCTTAACACTACAAAGACAAAACTGCCTGATAACTTAAACTATGCCAAAGGAACCTAGAAGAAAAAAGTGAGATCATTTTCCCCAAACTTCATCTACATGTAGAAAATCATGAGAAAGGGAGTAGAATCGTGGAGAAAGTCACGAGAAGTGACACATGTTAAAAATAAAGTTTGAGCCTAAATTTAGTGCTAAAAAAGAATGGGCCTGTTAAGTGAGTCTCACAGCTTTCAGGAATTGGAGAAGTTTCTCTTTTTCTGCACTGGTCAGACTACATCTGGGATATGGTGTTTTGTCCTGGTAGCTATTTAGGAAGGTGGGTGAGTAGCAAAGAATTCAGAGGAGCGCAGCCGAAGATGATGCAAGGCCTTGAGTTCGTGTCATCTGAGGATGGGTTCAAGGAGCTGGGGCTGTGTAGAGCCTGAAAAGAGGGGAGTCCAAGATGATGTGGAAATTATCTTCAGGTTTGGGAAAAGACCTCACATGGAAGAGGCATTTGCCTTTTTTTCCTCGACCCCAGAGAGCCTGGAGCCCTTTGCAAAGACGCAAATTTAGGCTAGATGTAAGGAAAAGTTAGAGGCCTACAGAGGGGGAGTGGCCTGCCTGGTGAGGGGGTCCTTGTCACTGGAGGTCGTCAGGCAGCTGGGAAAGGATACTCCTAGGCCACCCAGGTCCCTTCCTATTGTGAAAGGATTTAGAAAAGTAATCAGGCTTAGATGTGGATGTGGTTGTAGATCTGAAACTGTCTTGGGGACATTGTTTTCTCCTCTCTCAGGTAAGAATATAGATTCAGTAGGGTGAAAGCACAGAGTGGAGAAGGAGAACTCTAGAAGCTGGCCCACTCGGCCTACTTGGCATCCTTTCTTCCTCTTCTTTCTCCTTCATTTTCTTACCTTGCTAAGGAGACCAAAAACAATTAAACATGGGCTTTTGTGTTCCTGATTGCACTAAAAAAAGATACATCCTATTACCTTCAGGTATTTCCCATGGTATTCTATTTTATTGTTAAGTATAAAAATTAATTACCAAGAAGTTTTGATAAAGATTTGGCCTCTTTCTTCCCAGCATGAGGAATAATAAGCCTCCTTGTTGTTAAAAATCAACATTAAAGAATTGAGAGGTGTGAGAGCACCAAACTGAAATCGGTCTTGGATTCTGGCCATACTTGCTTCATCTCTTTTAGTTTCAGTTTTCTTCCCTGTGAAAGACGGGGTTAAGATTTGCCTTATTGGTGTGTTGTGAGGATTGGATGAGATAATGGATTTGTGAATCAGAAGCATGCTATGTTAATTATAAGACTGTGGCTATATTGATGTGCATTGAAGTGCTTTAAAATTTTTTTTATTAGAAGATTGATATAGGTCTTTGTCCTTTATAGGAACTTTGCCTGAACATCATTCCAACCTTTGCAAACCTCATAGACTATCCATCCATGAAAAATTCTTTAATACCAAGAATTAAAAATGCATGTTTACAAACATCTTCACTTGCTGTAAGTAAATGTTTCATTTTTGCTTATTTGCCTGATATTTCTTTCTTCTTATGTATGTGTTATTTTTCCCTGTACTGTCTCTTCTGGACAGTTTTTGTTGGAGCACTTTACTATGAGAGCCTGTTTTTTAAGTAGAAATCTTACATTGTTATGATTTTTAAAATAAATTTAAGATTTTTTTTTTAATATAGCTATTGTGGTCATGGCTCCTACAGGTCAGCGAAAGAATTGAACACAAAGCCTTTACCAAGATTTATAGGTCTCAGTCAGTCAGGAGAATCAAGCATTAGCAAAAGTTAGAAAATAGTATTTATAATTTTTAAAGTCACTATATGCATCTAAATCTATAGAAAATACTAGAAATCTGTATTTGTCATTTTACATATTAATGTAAATACTGTTAGTTAAGTACAGTTGCTCATAATAATAGCCAACATTTATGTTGTGTTTAATATGTGTCAGATACTATGCTAAGTACTTCATGGGTATTATCTCATTTGAGCCTCCTGGGAGGCAAGGGCTATTGTTACCCCCATTTTACAAATGAGAAAACTGAGGCAAACAGAGGTTAAATGACTTGTCTAGGGTCACTCAGCTAGGAAGTGTCTGAGACAGGATTTGAACTCAGGAATTCCCTATTTCAGGCCAGGTGCCCTCTATTCACTGTGCCACCTACCTATCTAAGACCCCTTTAATTTTGTATTAATTTTTTGGAAAAAGTTTTATAATCTTGTATTAATGTAGAATCAGATTTCAAACTTTAATCAAAGCATGTTTTACCTGGTTATTTTGTCTCAAAAGTAATAGTTTTACTTCATTAAACATTGACAGATTGTGTTTTGTTATTTAAAATTTAGTTTTCGTAAAAAATATTTAATTCTTGTCCACAAAGAGTATTAATTTACTAACAATTTGCCTTTTTAATAGGTTCGTGTAAATTCGTTAGTGTGCTTAGGAAAGATTTTGGAATACATGGATAAATGGTTTGTACTTGATGATATTCTACCCTTTCTACAACAAATTCCATCCAAAGAACCTGCGGTCCTCATGGGAATTTTAGGTAGCTGAAGTTTTTAAATTTTATTTTATGTTACTTCACCAAATTTATAGCTTACATAATCCTTACAGATCACATTTTTAAAGTGATTCCATAATTTTCACTTTTCTTTACTTTCTTTAGCTAATTTAATTGACTCATTCCTTGTGCGTATGCTCTTCAGTAACTTCAGCTTGACAGTATGCTTAGTTAACTCCATCATGCTCCATGATACTTTGTTTGAATTTCAACAGATGGTTGTTGATGCAACTTTAGAGTCCCATAGAACTAAATAAAGTTGTTTTACCTTATTGCTGTTATCTGCAAAGTAGTGCTGTTTATAGGGATGAGGAGCAACAGAATAGTAAGAGACTTGACCTGTCTTCATGGAGTTACTTTCTTGGGGAGCTGACATACTCAAAAAACAAATATAGTCTCATGTAAGATGTTTTATTATGAAAAGTGGGATTTTCTGAGCTGCCAAAGTACAGTAGAAAGGAGATGGGTGGTGACTGCAGTCATCAGGATGCAAGCTGGATCTGGAAGGGTGGTGAGGAAGAGAAGGGCATTGGAGATGGAGGGGAGGCTACTTGTGTGAGCTGATCATACCTCTAGAGGGGGGCAGACTGCAGAGACGTCTAGTCCAGCCCTTCATTTTACAGAAGAAGAAACAGGCCCAGAGAGGGCCTAGGGTCACACAGGTCGTCAGGGTCAGAGCTCAGGTTCCGATCCAGTTTCTCTCTAAATCTTCTGCACTTTCCACACTACCTCCTTTATGGGTATGGTTCACGTTTATGAGGGAGGGAAGAGGGTTGAAAGGTAAGAAGACTAACCTCCCTGGAAGAGTTGGGAGAGCCGGACTTGATGTAATCGACTTTGAAGAGCTATGTTCTCTTTTTAAAAGGCAAATGATTTAAGGAGTGATTTAAGTCAAGTCATGGATCCGTGCTTGTGAGTAGGACAAGAAGACATCAGAGCTGTAGTCATCCATGCGGGAAGTGTTAGGACCAAAATTCTGATAGTGAGAGACCACAGGAATGGGGCAGGGATGAATTCAGTAAAAGAAAAAATAACAGCAATAGATTCTATTACTATACTATACTGTAATGCTGTACTCTACTGTATAATACGATATATTGTATAATATATACTACACTACATATGTATATACTCTGCATATATATTATGTAGCAATACTGTATCCTCTATAATACTATGATAGGTACATAGGTACTTGGAAATTCTGGACTGGAACTTGGGTGAGAAAGAACTGCTGGCAGCTTTAAATTGGTAACTGAGTCTTCAGAGGGAGAACCAGTTCTCCAGGAAAAGAAGTATAGAGAGAGACCATGCAAAGACCAAGGATTTTACCTTGCTGCAGGTCCTCAGAAGGAGGAGGAGATCTAGCATAGAAGACGGAGGCGGTAGGAGGAGAAGGAGGATGGCTCAGGGGAGTATCTCCGGGAGGCTGTGAGCAGTCACCCTAGCTCGCCATGAGAAGTCACAGCTATTTATGAGCTGATTAAGAACCTCTAAGAGCCCTGCTGCTTTTAGCAAAACATTTTAGCAGAACATTTTAGCATTTGTCTAGTAAATTCCAGTAGCACCTGGAAAAGCCATTGTAATATGTCCCCTCTGCTGTGTGAGGGGGCTGCTGCTGCTGTTTGATATATCCAGATGCTACGCTGTGTGAAATTTTGTTTTAAACCATGTACGTAACTATAAGGATAGGGGGTAACTGTCTTTTATTGTCACATTTAGAATTGTGATGCGGAGAGTTCAGTCTCGCTTCCTGGTAAAGGCATTAATTAGCAAATAGCATCTAGGATTGAACTTCATCACCAATTCGAAATAATACACAGTGAACTGTTGGGAAGCTTCAGTCTAATTCAGGGTCCCCATTCCTACTTCAAAGCGCAGCTCTTGGTAGCTGTACTTTTTTGTGGAATTCCCATTTGTTGATTCATGACTCAAGAGTAGTTTTCTCTTGATCTTTTTATATTAGGTATTTACAAGTGTACTTTTACTCATAAGAAGTTGGGAATCACTAAGGAACAGCTTGCTGGAAAAGTGTTGCCTCATCTGATTCCTCTGAGCATTGAAAATAATCTTAATTTCAATCAGGTGAGTCTGGTGGTTAGGGATTTTTATTCATTTAGCAGTAAGTCTTTACTCTGTGAAGCCCCATGAGAGGCTCTCTGGATGTGGGAAATACAGAGGGAAGGAAATGGCCCAGAGGGGTGGGTGATGAAAAGATTCTGGGATTTCTAAGAAGAGAGGGATTCATTTGGCAGGGGAGCCAGGGAAGGCTTCCTGGAAGAAGTGGCATTTAAGAAGGAGAGTTAGGATGTTGACAGAGGGGGAAGGGCAGGAAAGTGAAATGTATTCAGAAAATGGGGAGTGATGCCATTGGTTTGTAGCATCAGGGATGCCTACAGAAGGTGATGGGAGCAGGCAGGGTGGGGGGCTTTACATGTCAGGCGGAGGAGTTTTGACTCGATTGGGCGGGTAATATGAAACTACCAGTGACCAACTTCGTGGGGAGGGCGGTCTGGGTAGTGTTCTAGCTCTAGTATTCCAGAATTCTGTGAGTCAGAATTTTTATTCTTCAGAAAAATTTATCCTGGGCATCATTTGCTTGGGGGTGATAGTTGAAACTGGAAGGGTGTGGTTGAAAGTCAGGGCCTGCCTTGAGCGAAGGCAGAAGCAGCAGAGAGTATGGTATTGCCAAAGACACGGGAGGGGTTCAACATTCAGCAGTTAGTGCTACAGGAAAGGAGAGAAGAGTGAAAACTAGGCCAGTGGACTTGGCTATGAGAAGGTGAACAGTAACTGCTGAGCTGTCAGTGTGGGGACAGTGCAACGGTGAACCTTGTGTTCTAGGGATCCAGGGATAGAATTATTGAGTTAGAAGGGACCTCAGGCCCACCTAGCCCAGCGCATGACCCCCATGCCAGGCTGAGCTCTGCTCAGTCCCAGTGCATTCGTGGCAGCAGTGGGCAGGCTAGATCAGAAACAGGGAGGCCACTTGTAACGGGGTGATGGCCCAGCCTCTGCCCTCACAAAAGGCTCACAGCCAAGGTCTTGGCTCTGTGCTCTTGGTCACTAATTGATTTTGTGACTTTCCTTTCTGGTCTGGCCTAGAAAGTAAAGGGTTTGAAGTAGAAAGTCATTTCCACTTTGTGCTGTGATTCTGTGAAATCTCTCTGAAATCTTCAGAGAGCAGGCTTTGAAGGTGTCTTCAACTCAGCAGATGTTGTATTAAGGAATTACTACATGTAAGAAGCAGTTCCGCCTGCTGGGGAGACAGATGTAGATGCACTGGGTGAAGGGGCTGGCCTCGGTGTCCAGAAGACCTGAGTGCGAGTACCAGTGCTGCTCTCAGCCTCAGCTTTTCATCTGTAAAATGGGGATTACAACAGAACCCGCTTCCCCAGGTGGTTGTCAGGATCAGGTGAAAGAAGCATGTGTATGGTGCTTTGCAGGCCTCAAAACACTAGGTGGAGGCCAGTGCCTTCCCCTGATTCTGTCTGGTTTGTCTGTGTCCGCCTCAAAGTGGCTCTCCACATGTTGTCTCCATCGATAAGCTCAGCTCTTTGAGAGAGGAATGGAGCTTAGCCATCCATCCCCACAGGACTATTCCGTTCCTGATTAGGCCTTGCTTTTGTAGAAATGGAGGGCAAGATGTATGAAAGCTCTAAGGCTATGCCCGGTCAGGAGAAAGCACAAACAGAAACCTGAACCCTGGGAAACAAAACAGCAGAATTTGCAGTCTGAGCGGTCCTCGTTTACATTGAAGGAGATAGGAACAGCCATCAGTTCAAGTCTTGTCTCCATATGTTTCCCACGTGTGCCAGGAGAGAGCACATGGCCTTGTGCCTGAGGACTAGGAGCCATGGTGCAGCTACAAGTAATGGGGGAGACTCTGAGGAGGAAGAGGCAGCGTTCCCCGCCCCCCCATCCTTACCCCAAAGATTCAGCTCCTGATCCCTGCAAGGACAGAGGCAGCAGCTGCAGTGATTGTTCTAAAAACCCTCAGGGAACCCATGACTTACTTTTCCTTCAGCTTCTCAGCTCTGTGTGATTTTAATCAGGTTTCCTGGAATTTCAGGCTCTTGTGTCTGAATAGAATATGTCAATTTTTAAAAATGGAGGTTTCCAAATTTCTTTGAATTAAGGCGGGTGTTTTCCTAAAAATCTATAAGCCATACACTGAGTGTCTGTAAAAATAGCCACCTTTTAGACAGTTTGGGACATAAAACTCCAAATTGAGATTGCATCCAGAAATGTAGGAGATGGGAGATTTAGAACTGGAAGGGAGCCTGAAAAAGTCATGAAGTCCAGGTTCCTCATTTTACAGATGATCAAATTAAAGTCCCTTGGCCAAACTCCCTGACATAGTTAAGTGGCAAAGTGAGAATTTAAGGCCTGATGCAGTTTTAAAAGGCTTGCTTTACTGAGCATGCTTAGCAAAGGTACTGTCCCATTCTTCAGTGCCAGTGTTAGAAAAAATGTGCTATAATAACCATAAGGAATATTTTGATAACTGATTGCTTTATTTTACCAGTTTTCAAAATTGTAATCTTGTCTAATTTTTAATTTTAGTTCAATTCTTTTATTTCGGTCATCAAAGAAATGCTTCATAGATTGGAAGTGGAACATAAAACCAAACTGGAGCAACTCCACATAATGCAAGAGCAGCAGAAGTGAGTCGCTTTCTCCTGGGATTCAGGCGTTCTGGGTGTGAGAATAGCCAGTCCTCACCTTTATCGGCTTCCATGAGTTACCTGGAAAACACTTGGGTTTTAATTTGATCAGAAGCCAAGCATTCTGTTCTTCCTTTTTATTTAGATCAGCTTTCAGATTAGGTTAAAGGAGAACATTGTTTAAAGATGAATGCATTGATTTAGTAGGAAGAGTGTCTTTTTTTGTGTAGTTCATCCCTCAGAACTTCTCCTATCAACATTGCTCCTAATAAGGCCACTAGGGATGTAAACTTCACAACCTTCCAAAAATTTAGATTCTTTGTTCTGTTCTTGGATTAACTGAAATATTTATGAAATAACTCCATCCTCTAAAGCAGTGGTGTCTGACTCAAATAGAAATGCATTTCTGCAGGCCACACACTGACTTGGGTTGTATTCTGTTTTTATTTATTTTATTAAATATTTTCCAGTTAGATTTTGATTTGGTTTGGGTGGCACTCGGCAGTGTTGTGGGCCACATATTTGACATCTCTGCTCTAAGGACTTCTTCAGTCCTCCCATGGGGAGAGATCCTCATTCCCTAGACATGCCCTCCCTGGGGAAGGACGTGATAGGTGGAGTTCATGACCCACCAGCAGCTCTTCATCCATCTCCTACCCATGTAAATTGGAGCAGAGTAAAGCTAGTAAAGGGAAGAGGTTCCTTCAAGTGGCAGGGACCTCCCTGGCTCCGTTTAGAGCATGAAAGTAAACGTGTTTGGTGTGTGATGTGTTGAGCAAAGCCTTTTTTGTTAGAACAGTCCTGTGGCCAGTACAACATCTGAAATGTTCTTCATCCATTGAATGTCATTGAAATTGTCAGTTAAAAGACAGAATTCATTAAAGCAAGAGGGAAACACTTTAAATAAAATTTGCATGTTTGTTGCATGAAGATAAAGTGAAATGCCTAACTTTATTTCAGGGGAAAATAAACCTAACTTTCTCTAGTACATCCCTTTCTGCCCATTCTGCAAGGGCTTGCTTGAACCTACTCATCTTCATGAATTTTTCATGATTACCTCAGCCTCATTGGCTTGCTCTGCCCTTTGATTGCATTTGCTGTCTGTACTACACATTTGGATATTTACATTCTCCCCCGGTGAACTCTTGGAGGTCACCTTTTACTTGTTTTATTATCTTCTCTCTCATCGCCCCTCCACCCGACCTTACTTTAGTCTAGCTCTGGACCTCCATCAGGCCCATCAGATGAAGCAGAATGGCAGATGAGGCATCCACAGTCCCAGGAAAGTCCTAGTGTGTGTCAGGTTTGTTCAGGTAGCATGGGTGTGAGGAGCCTGGGAGTGTGACTGCTCTCTGTCACTGAGCGTTTGTTCAGCACCTTCTGTGGGTCCTTCTCTGTGCTAGGAACTGGGGATACACACCTTCCTTTTTTGCTCTCTCACTTGGCAATAATTGCGCTTGATCTTGCAGATCTTTGGATATCACCAGTCAAATGAATGCATCTGAAGAGACAAAAATTCCTAATGCTGGTAGTCAGGTAAGAAAGTTTTGAGATTTCTTTAATTTTTTTTTTTTTTTACAGAACTCTTGAAAATAGGATTCTACACTGGCAGGCTTTTTTCAAGAATAATGACATCATTGGATTTTTTTTTTTTTTTGGCAAGGCAGTCAGGTTTAAGTGACTTGCCCAGGGTCACACAGCTAGTAAGTATCAAGAATCTGAAGCCAGATTTGACCTCAGGTTCTCCTGACTCCAAGCCAGTGCTCTATCCATTGCGCTACCTAGTTGCCCCTGGATTTCTTTTTTGTTTGTTTGTTTCTGTTTAACCAGTTAACTTTCTAATTTCAACAGATTGACAAAGTCTTTAACAATATTGGAGCAGACCTTCTGACTGGTGGTGGATCAGAAAATAAAGAGAATGGGATACAGAATACACAGAAGAAAGTAAGCTTTTTGTTTTTTTTAAATTGTTTTCTTATAGTACCATTTTTTTTCTTGTAGGGCTGTTTGAATATGAAATTTTTATCAGGAAAACACTTCTCAACTTTTAACGCTTTCCATGAATCATTAAGTACATGAGTTTTGTTGAACCTAAATGTGTGGATAGAATGAAACTGCATATTCAGTGTATTGTAAAATAAACAACTGCTAAAGTGTATCTCTGAGACTCTCAGATTCAGTGATTAAACAGTAGTAATTGATGTTGATCTTTTTCCCTCACTTAAAGATTTTCTTCAGGTTTTCTTCAAATTTTTTTTTTATTTTATACCATTAGTATTTAATTTCCTTCAGAAAAAATGTTAAGCTTTACTATCACAACTAACCAGTGGACATATACTATAGATTTGGCTTACAGTATTGTCCATCTGGAGCATGGAGGGACTTTAGGGGCAATTGATTGCAGCCCTCTCGTTTTACAGATGAGGAAAGCAATGTGCCTCCTTTTACAAGAGTTATCCTTGTTCCCTGTTGCAGTATCCAGTGATATACTTTTGTATATTTTGGGAAAGCTTGGCTAACAACTGCATTTTTATGTTTTTAAAATAGCATTTAATTTTTATCATATTATGAAACTAACTTTATGCAGCTTTGGGTATTAATTGCAAACTTGTATATATTTACCTGTGGAATGCCAAACCGTTTGCTCATTTGTTATTTATGTTGGTAGGTCAAACCATTTGCAAATGATGCATTAGTCAGTTAAAAAGATAATGAGTTGGCACATACACAAAAATTGACCATGTACTAGGGCATAAAAACCTCACAATCCAATGCAGAAAGGCAGAAATATTAAATGTATCCTTTTCAGATCATGATGCAATAAAAATTATATGTAATAAAGGGCCATGGAAGGATAGACTAAAAAATAATTGGAAACTAAATAATCTAATCCTAAAAAATGATTGGATCAAACAACACATCATAGAAACAATCAGTAATTTCATTCAAGAGAATGACAATAATGAGACAACATACCAAAACTTATGGGATGCAGCAAAAGCAGTTCTTAGGGGAAATTTTATATTTCTAAATGCTTACATAAATAAAATAGAAAAAGAACAGATCAAAGAATTGGGCATACAACTAAAAAAAACTAGAAAAAGAACAAATTAAAAATCCTCAATTAAACACCAAATTAGAAATATTGAAAACCAAGGGAAAAATTAAGAAAATTGAAATTAAGAAAACTATTGAATAAATAAAACTAAGAGCTGGTTTTATGAAAAAACCAATAAAATAGATACACCTTTGGTTAATCTAATTTAAAAAAAGAAAGAAGAAAACCAGATTACTAGTACAAGAATGAAAAGGGTGAAGCTACCACCAAGGAAGAGGAAATTAAAACAACAATTAGGAATTATTTTGCCCAACTATATGCCAACAAATTTGACAATCTTAGTGAAATGGATACATGTTTACAAAAATATAAATTGCCCAGATTAACAGAAGAGGAATAAAATTCTTAAATAACTCCATCGCAGAAAAAGAAATTGAACAAGCCATTGATGAGCTGCCTAGGAAAAAATCTCCAGGGCCAGATGGATTTACATGCGAATTCTATCAAACATTTAAAGAACAATTAATTCCAATACTATATAGACTATTTGGGAAAATAGGTGAAGAAGGAGTCTTACCAAATTCTTTTTATGATACAAATATGGTGCTTATACCTAAACCAGAAAGAGTCAAAATAGAGAAAGAAAATTATAGACGAATTTCTCTAATGAATATAGATGTAAGAATTCTAAACAAAATATTAGCAAATAGATTACAGCAACTTATCACAAAAATAATACACTATGACCAGGATTTATACCAGGAATGCAGGGTTAGTTCAATATAAGGAAAACTATCAGCATAATCCGTCATATCAACACCAAAACTAACAGAAACCACATGATCATCTCAATAGATGCAGAAAAACCATTTGACAAAACACAACACCCATTCGTATTAAAAACGCTAGAGAGCATAGGTGTAAGTGGACTCTTCCTTAAAATAATAAATAGCATCTATCTAAAACCTTCAGCAAGCATAATATGTAACAGGGACAAGCTAGAAGCATTTCCAATAAGATCGGGGGTGAAACAAGGATGTCCATTATCACTGCTGTTATTCAACATCGTACTGGAAACGTTAGCTTTAGCGATAAGAGAAGAAAAAGACGTTGAAGGTATTAGAATAGGCAAAGATCACTCTTTGCAGATGACATGATGTTATACTTAGAGAATCCCAGAGAATCAAGCAAAAAACTACTTGAAATAATCAACAACTTTAGCAGAGTTGTAGGCTATAAAATAAACCCACATAAATCATTGGCATTTCTATATATTACCAACAAAGCCCAACAGCAAGAGATAGAAAGAGAAATTCCGTTTAAACTTACTGTACACATTATAAAATATTTAGGAGTCTACCTCCTGAAACAAACCCAGGAGCTCTATGAACACAATTACAAAACACTTTTCATGCAAATAAAGTCAGATCTAAATAATTGGAAAAACATCAGTTGCTCATGGGTAGGCCGAGCTAATATAATAAAAATGACAATTCTACCTAAGCTAATTTACTTATTCAGTGCCATACCAATCAAACTACCAAAAAATTATTTTATAGAATTAGAAAAAATAATAATAAGATTCATTTGGAAGAACAAAAGGGCCAGAATATCAAGAGAACTAATGAAAAGAAATGCAGGGCGTGACCTACCCATTCCAGATCATAAATTGTATTATAAAGCAGCAATCATCAAAACTGCTTGGTACTGGCTAAGAAATAGAGTGGTGGATCAATGGAAAAGGTTAAATGTGCAAGACACAGTAGTCAGTGACTATAGTAATCTATTTTTTGATAAACCCAAAGACCCCAGCTTCTGGGATAAGAACCCACTCTTTGAAAAAAACTGCTGGAAAAACTGGAGAAGAGTATGGCAGAAACTAGGCATAGACCAAAATCTCACACCATATACCAAAATAAAGTCAAAATGGGTTCATGATTTAGATATAAAGGCTGATACTATAAGCAAACTGGGAGAGCAAGGAATAGTTTACCTGTCATATCTATGGAGAACAGAAGAATTCATGACCAAACAGGAGATAGAGAACATTATGAAAAGCAAAATAGATAATTTTGATTACATTAAACTGAAAAGTTTTTGCACAAACAAAGCCAATGCAACCAAGATTAGAAGGAAGGTAGAAAATTGGGAAAGAATTTTTACAACCAGTGTCTCTGATAAGGGCCTCATTTCTAAAATATAGAGAATTAAGTCAAATTTATAAGAATACAAGCCATTCTCCAATTGATAAATGGTCAAAGGATATGAGCAGACAGTTCTCAGATGAAGAAATTAAAGCCATCTATAATCATATGAAAAAATGCCCTAAATCACTATTGATTTAGAGAAATGCAAATTAAAACAACTCTGAGGTACCACATCACACCTATCAGAATGGCCAACATGACAAAACAGGAAAATAATAAATGTTGGCGAAGATGTGGGAAAATTGGAACACTAATGCGTTGTTGGTGGAGTTGTGAAATGATCCAACCATTTTGGAGAGCAATTTGGAACTATGCCCAAAGGGCTATAAAGATGTGCGTACCCTTTGACCCAGCAATGGTACTTTTAGGGCTATATCCCAAAGAAATCACACAAACAGGAAAAGGACCTACATGTACAATAATATTCATAGCAACTCTTTTTGTTATGGCAAAGAATTGGAAATTGAGAGGATGCCCATCAATTGGGGAATGGCTGAGCAAGTTATGGTATATGAATGTGATGGGAATACTTTTGTGCTGTAAGAAATGATGAACAGGCTGACTTCAGAAAAACCTGGAAAGAGTTGTATGGTCTGATGCTGAGTGAAGTGAGCAGAACCAAGAGAACTTTGTGCACAATAACAGCCACATTGTGTGATGACTAATATTGATAAACTTAACCCTTCCTGGCAATACAAGGATCTAAGACATCTCCAGAGGCCTTGTGATGGTAAATGCTATCCCCATCCAGAGAAAGAACTATGGAAGTTGAATTGCTGTTTTTTTTTCCCTCTTCTGTTGAATTTTGTTTCTTTTTCTGATGGTTCCTCCTATTGGTTTTAATTTTTACTTACAACATCACTAATATGAAAATATGTTTAATATGAATGTATATGTATAGCCTATATCAGATTGTGCGCCAACTTGGGGAGGGTGATGGGGAGGAATGGAGAGAAAAATTTTAAACTCAAAAGCATATGGAAGTGATTATTGATAAATCAAAATAAATTTAAAAAAAAAGATGATGAGTGTATTATCCAAAAAAGATTCTTTTAAAGAGTCTTATAAAATGTGCTAGGGGATTTATTGACTCTCCACTTGGGGAAGGGAGAGATAAGATGTCTTTTATCTGTTATCTGATTAGAATGTGTATTCCCAAATTGGAATCCTTTCTCAATATTGTAGATAATTGTCATCCACCAGACTTAAGAACACATTTGCATAACAAGTTGTTCTGTTCTTTTGGTTTCCTCTTAAACACTTTTCCTGCAAGTTTACTTCTCTTTTACAAGTTCAATGACATCAAAGTTCCTGAGGTGAACTTTCATCTTATTTCCTCTGATTCCAACCCTAGACTATAAAATGCTATTTGTCTCATTTGTTAATTAAAGAAGCTTAGAGTAGAATCCTGGACTCAACTGCTTATTCTCAGAACAGTTTTAATTCATTCCTATTTATTGAGTATCTGCTGTGTAAGATACCATATAGAATCCAGGGCTGGACAGGATAGGAGCCCTTCCTTTAAGATGCTGAAGCACTAGCAGGAGAAATAAGATATGCACAATTATCTCGTTTGGGTCCAGATTACCTAATTAGATACTGATTTGTTGGGGGTTGTTCTGCCCTTCTGAGATTTGGGGGAAGTAAAGTAAATTAGAGTTAAGCAAGGCCTTAATGGAATGGACCTCAAAGTCAATGTACCTTCCGTCCTGTAGACCAGAAGAAGATGACTCCAATGTCCAGCTTTTCATAAGTAGCAGTTCCAAGTATGTTCAGAAAGTCCTCTACAGTTTAAGCCTTTTAACAAGAAATGTGCCTCTCTTAACCAGGACAAACTTAAGTCTTGTTCAGATTGTTACTTGTGTGAAATTATTGTCAAATTACAGTGTGAGTATACCATTTTCCAAACGTTCAATAGCAGTTTACGTTTTTTATGGAGCTTTGAGGCTTAGCAGATACTTTCCCCATATCTACCCTGTGAGCTGTGTTGGGCCAGCAGAAGAAGCCGTGCCTCCAAGAGCTGGGTGAGCTTCCCATGTTCCCATGCTGCTCAGTCCTGGGCCCGACTAGAGGCTGAGCCATGTCTCAGAGATTTCTTCTGTGCTGTATTTGGTGAAGGCACTTTAATAAAAACTAGCCTGTGAAAATTCAGGATTAACTGGAAGATCTTTGCCTTAAAAAAAGGAAATCTAACATTGCCACATGAACTGTCTTTTTTCACTTTGAAGGCATCACTGACACTTGAAGAGAAGCAGAAGCTAGCAAAGGAACAGGAACAGGCCCAGAAGTTGAAAAGTCAGCAGCCGCTGAAGCCGCAGGCCCACACCCCTGTGGTGCCCATCAAGCAGGTCAGAGTTTATTTTCTTTGGTATCATTTTTTTTGCCCCCTTTAAAGACAGTAGTCATATAAAGTTAGTTATGCTCAGGAGATACATTTATAAAGACTTCCTTAAATTGTCCATTCTCAAAGGGTTGTGATTAGGGTGGGGGGAAGGTTGTCACTGAAAGGTAAGTGACAAATGCCAGGCCTTCCCCCACTCTAAGGTCTGGCAGGCACCTGCCACACCTAATTTTCTGTACAGCAGGCAAAATGGGCTGACTCTTTCTGTTGATGTTTTTTGAGTAGAGCTGTGTTGTGTTGTGTTTTGTTTTTTAAATACTCAGATTTCAGAACAGTAAAGGTACCAGGATCAGACACATACAGTTCAAAGAACTGGTCTTTTGGTTCCGCACAAACTCAGTTGGTGGCAAGAATAATTTGAATTTTTGCTTGTCATGACATTTTTATTTCAGAAGGCTTCTTTGTTAATGTTAAGTGAAGAAAAAAAAAATTCTCCCTCCTAAAAGATGGAGAAATCAACATAAAATTATGTATTGTGAACAAAACATTTTAGTTAAGTTCAATGCTTCTTGAGCTGAATTTTTCCTGTCATATGTTGGCATGCTTGATTTAAGAGTGTAGCCTTGATGCAAATAGCCCTAATCACGCTGCTGTTTTATTTATTTTGCAGACTAAGGACTTGACAGAAACTTTGATGGATAACATGTCTTCTCTGACCAGCCTTTCTGTTAGCACTCCCCAAATCTCGGCTTCCACTAGCTTCTCTCCAGGTCCGTCCATGGGGATGGGCATGGGTTTTTCCACACCGGTTGATAATACAAAGAGAAGTTTGACAAATGGCCTAAATGCCAATATGGGCTTTCAGACGCCAGCATTCAGCCTGCCAGCCGGTGCAAACCAGCATCTCTTCAGCAGCCCAGTGACACCGGCAGTGGCCCAGATGACTCTGGGGACGCCTTCTAGTTTACCGAACCTGCACTCTCGGAGGGCTTCAGCTGGAATGTCACAGCAGACCCCACACAGACCCACTGATATGTCTGCTCTGGACAGTCTGTTTGGGCCTCAGAAACCCAAAGTTAGCATGAACCAGTTATCTCAACAGAAACCAAACCAGTGGCTTAATCAGTTTGTACCTCCTCAAGGGTCCCCAGGGCCGGGCAGTTCAGTAATGGCAACCCAGCTGAACATGGTAGGACAGCCTGCCTTTGGTTTGCAGGGCAATCCTTTCTTTAACCCACAGAACTTTGCACAGCCAGCCAATATGACTAGTAGCAGCTCAGCTAGCAATGATTTAAAAGATCTATTTGGGTAAGGCATCTCGTGTTCATTTTGAAGAATTGATTACATTTTAATCATGGGTGAGCTGATTTCCATCTTGGTTTGTTTGATTGAATATCTGGCTTGGAGGAACTTTCCCTACAGGAAGGAATATGAGTGATTTGGTGGAGGAAAGCAAGGGTGTCCGCGTCAGCTTTGTAGCGATGTAGAATCCTGTCGTTTGTACACATTGAATGCAGTTTGATTTGTTCCCCTCGCCTTCTCCCACATCCTCTCCTCCCCCCCTTCTAGTGATCTGAAGGCATGGCCCTAACCAGGCTCGTTCAGAGCTGAAAACGTGGGTGTCGGTGGCTCATCTCTCCCTGCGTAACTTGGTGCAACAAATCAGTGACAAAGAGGAGTCGATGGCATCAGCAGGTTTTGTCTGCCCGGTGCCACCAGAGTCCACGTGCCACAGCTGTTCAGTTTTAATTTTAATTTGTTTTATACCCAGTTGCTTGAATTGATTCCTGAATTGGTGTTTCTCTAAGTAAAGCAAACTGTAAGCATATAGAAAGGGTAAGGTTGTTTGCCTTGAGCAATCCTTATGCATTTTGTTGTTTTCTAGACAGTTCTCAGCAAATATTGCAGAATTTCACTCATCTTGCTTCTCATTGGTTCAAACTGTAAAAGCCTCGTAAACCGTCATCAGTGCAAGTGAAATCCTTGTAAAACCTGGTGGAGCATGGTCCGCCTCACGGCATAGTGGGTTTTGTTCCTGGGTTCCCTGGGGAGTGCTTGGGATCATTTGGCTCTTTCTGCCTGTGCCCATCTAAGTGGAGGAGCCCGGCTGGATGGGTGCAGTCACTTGGCACTGCTCTGTGGTAGGGCATTGCCCTGTCTCTTCTTGCCTTCTTGTGTTTGAACCGAAACTTGTGAGGTGCGTTTTCCAAGGCAGATCTGTAAGAATCCAAGTGTATTTGGTGAATAAACTTTTAAAGTTGGTGATGCTGTATTGCTCCAAATGTAATAAACTTTACTTCTCCAAAAATGAGCAGTCGTATCTTGTGCTTGCCAACAGTGATGCTCAGCTTGCCCATGATACAGTCTGACCTCTTCTCCGTTAATGCCACTGAATGTTAATTCTTCCTTTCCTAAGAATTTCAGGAACCTTTATTCTAACATATTGATGTTCAGAGTTGACCATTTGGTGGAAGGAAAGAATTCATTCTTTAACATTTTTACAGAAAACCTACATGCTTTATTTTTTATAGCCTTTCACTGATGATATTGTTCTTTCATTTGCTGCTTTAAAAAACCACAGGGCCTTATGCTGTGAATGTGATTTGTATTTTGTTAAATTATATTTCCACATTTAATGCGGTGATAAATTTAAACACATCTTTCAAAGAACTGTGTATGTGTGTTATGGTTGCTGCCTTCATATTTTTGTTTTGAATTATCTGGGACCAGCAGTGGTTTTAAATAAACCATGTGAAGATTTGTGTGCTATTGATACTCTTGGTAGGTGTCCTGGGTTACACTGAATTTGATTATAAAATGTGATGGGATGATAACAAAACATTCTTGCTGCCAACATGTGATATGAGGGGACTTTTTAAAAAAATAAATCAACTTTCACATATGATTTCTGCATGAGCTGTACATTATTATATCTGATCTTAGCAGTGACTTACATGAAGAACACCTTGTGATCATTTATTTCAGAAAGGAATGGCATTAAGAAGAAAGAGTCATTTTGCATAGAAAAGTGTGTTTGTGATATGATTGCATTCTTTGTGAGGGTGTTTTTATTACTATTGGGGGTTTGAATCATGCTTGGAAAATTCATACGTGGAATGAATATTTGGGGTATATTTTCTTTGTGATACTGACAGCAGTCACTGTTTTGGGAAGGTCATTTTCTCTTTAATGTAGAGGTATCTTCTCCTAATTAACAGGAATGCCAGAGAGTTGGTCATAGGCAGTTTGGAGGGGTAGAGAACTGGGGGTGGTCACAAGCAATTCACGAATATCATCTGCTGAGACTTGGAGAGGATTGTGATCATTTCTGGTGGAGGGTTAGTACCCGAGCTGATGATTTTAAGGGCTCTTTTGCAATATTGAGTTCCTGATGATTTGGTTTTCATTGAAAATTAATTCTTCAAACTTTTAGAAATACAGTTGAGATGTATTGCATCACTTTTTAAAAAGAAATTCTCCCATTCATTTTGTACACACCGAATTTCGTATCAGTATATTAGTTGCTTTTACTGCCACTCCTACTGTTTTGGGTAGAAAACTATTATGATAAGTTTTAAGAGGGGCTGGGAACTATGTGAATAGGTACTTTTTTACAAAAAATTACATGGTCTACAAGATTATTTTTGTCTTCTTGAATTGGAACCCTAACACTTAGAATAGACATTCAAAATTCGAGAAGATTTTGTAATTTTATAAACAATTGTGCCTTTCTCTTTTTTCTACCAAGTTCTTTCTTTTCTCCTGTGGAAAAAAAGTGGAGTGTACGCATCATTCTAAAAGGAGATACACATAGACTTTATTTTCCTTTTCCCTAAATGAGTTTCCTTTCTGGAGCTTAAGTGAATGAAACTTACTGGTAAATGGAAATAAAAATTCTTGTGATGTCTACCTCACAGCATTGTTGGAAGTCTAAAATGTGATACAGTATGTAAAACACTTTGCCTGTGAGCATGTGAATTGGAATAGTTTTCAAGTTTAAAGTTGTGGTTTTGGTTTTTGTTATATTTCTTACAGTAGACTTAATTATCAGAAGCAAATTCATAAGATGTTAAAATCAGAATTTTCTAGGTGAAAAGGACCACCTGAGAGACCATTTAGTCTGCTTTTTCTTTTTTTAATTAAACATTCTTTTTCATCTTCCTCCTATTTCCTCACTGCCCAGGAAAAATATAATGGAAAAACAAAACTCTTGTAATAAATATGTATAACACACTGCCACATTGGCTATGTCCATGGCATGTATCTCTTTCTACATATTTTGTCCATCACATATTTGCCACGAGGTAGGTACATGATTGCTCATTGCACTGATTAAAGTTCTTAAGTCTTTTGAAGTTGCTTATTTTTACCTTGTTATGGTTTATATTGTGATTGAGTGTGGCTCAGTTCACACTGCATCAGTTCATGAAAGTCTTCCCAGGTTTCTCTGAAACTGACCCCTTGATGATTTCTTAAGGCACAGTGATGATGGTGATGATAACAGTCATTATGTAGCACCTGCTGTGTGTCAGAAATTTGTCATTACATTAATATACTGCAATTTGTTCAGCTGATAGGCATCTTCCCCCCAACCCCACTTAGTTTTCAGTTTTTTGCTGTACAGAGGAGGAGGCTGGAATCCAAGAAGAGAAATGGACTTTACCAAGAATGTTTTGTGAGTTAATTGATGAGCCGGACCTACAGCTCAGGTCTCCAGGAGTACAGCCATTTGTTTGCACTAACACATGCTGCTTCCCTTATTGTATGGACATTTATGTATTGAGGTGCACGTTACCTCCAAGAAGCTATTCTAATCTTATCTGATCCTTTCTCCCACTTAGAGCAATGCTATTTTTACATACCAGCTTATGGGCTATTTCTTTCTTGTCTTTTATCAACCAGAAAAGCATTTCTTGTCTGAAGTAGGTGCTCAGTTGCATTGAAGTGGTAGCCTTTGATTCATCCAGCAGGCAGTTATTGGCTGCTTACTATGGCCATGGCTTCAGGTCCCGAAGGATTAGGGAGAGTAGTGGGAGATAAACATGGCTATGTGGACACCTTGAAAGCCAGAAGAATGGGTTTGAACTTGAGCCTTTCAACAAAGTACAGTCATTAGAGGTTCTGGTACTATGTACTGTTAAAAGAGATTCAGACCTTCATCTAAAACTTAGAAAACCAGATCACAGCTAAAGCAGAACAGTGTAGGGCACAGCCTGACATTTCACTGTCTCTAACAGGATATTTAGAGACAGTGTGGAACTACCTGGCCTAGATGGTAGGCATAATTGGGCTGTTTTGGAAATCTTTTAACTCTTGGACCTAATGAGTGTTTCTTAGTAGACTGAGGACTGTGTTCTCCCCTACTTCAGTCACTCCCTGTCACCTCCATGGTCAAATACAAATTCCTCTGTTTTTTTATTGGAGGACCTTTGGAACCAGGCTCCAACCTGCCTTCCCAGCCTTATTGTACGATACTGCTCTTCACATGTTCTACAGATCTGCCAAACTGCCCATTTTGTCAGTTTTCACATACAGTACTCATCTGTGTGCTTTTGCTCAGGCCATACCCGATGCCTGGAAAGCTTTCCTCCACCTCTGTACTCCATTGCAACTGCAAGTTTTTTGAGGGCAGGAGCTGTTTCATTTTTGTCTTTTTATCTACAGTACCTGGCACGTAGTAGGTCCTTAATGAATGCTAGTTGAATTAATGATATAATAATATTATAATAATATATATATATAATATATACATATATATTATATACACACATATATATAATAATATAATAATATATAATAAAATGTTATTGTCATTTTTTTCCACCTTGTTTAGATTTGAAGATAAAGTGAATTTTTGTACTCAACAGTTTTCATGTAGTTAAGCACGTGTCATTTTTCATGTAATTAGCACAATATCAGCTAAAGCTTTGCTTCAATGCCTTCACATAGTAATGGAACATCACTGGCTTCTCAGAACCTATCTCATGGCAGCCTTCCAGTGATAAACTTCTGCCAGTTCTGTGAAGGCTAGTTCTTAGGTAAAAGAGCTGGTGAGGTAAGGAATTTGGCCGTATGGCAGAGATAGTATTGAAGCTTTCAGGGCCTTTGAGTCCCGTTAATTTATTTCAGTGTTAGGGAGTTTCGTTTTCCAGATTGCCGTTAAAGGATGCACAGGTTTGTTGTGCAAACCTTGGCCAAACTTTTACTCTAATTTTATCAATCTTCTACATGTGTTTTTCTCTGGTTATAGAGGATGCTGTTTATAACTTGTGACTGAGGGGGTAGGGCTGAGCAACAGTATGTTATGGATTAATGTAAATCAATTCACTTCTGCTGTTGGGAGTTCATGTGCAGTTTGGCTCATGATCTCATGTTAATGAGACACGCAGTGGCAATAACAGAGATTTATGTGCATGTTCTTGTCTGCTATTTATTTCACTTCAGTTTCTTGGGAAAGATTTCACCTGGGGAATGTGCCTGACATGAAAATGTTGTTTGGGGCACCAAACAGCAAGCACTTATTAAGCACCTACTATAATAATATATATTTTATATATATTATATATAATTATGTATATATTATATATAATATAATAATAACTGTACTAGATTCTGGAGTGGGAAGACAAAAATAGAAACAGTCTCCACTCTGAAAGACTTTTACTTGTACAGGGATGTATAAAGTAAATATAAGGTAATTTGGGAAGGATTTATAAGGGGAGTGTTGGGAAAGACTGCATGTAGGAGATAGAGCTTGAACTTTGATGGAAAGTGGAAGATGGAAGAGGTGGAGGTGAAGCTGGGGAGCTCATTCCAGGCACACGGCTCATGGCATTGCCCAGAATTCTGCCCCTGCTCTGGTTTCTGGTTCATGGCCTTGCAGTTGACCAAAAAGCTCAAAGTGTATGACTTCAGGGATCATAAATTTAGGCCTGTCAATTCAGTCATTTTAGTAGGATTTCCTAACTGCCACTACTGTACAGACAAGGAGTCCCATTCCTGGATTCTTCACTAGCCCTTTTAGATGTTCTCAGTGGGATAATTTAGTTCAACAAATACCTGAGCACTGACTGTGTATACAAGGCACTCTGCTAGGTTGGTGGTGACAGTGAAGCGAATTGTACAAAATTATAGCCCACATTTCCTGGAGGGCCCTGCAGTTCGCAAAGTGCTCTCTGTAACCCAGCACCTTATACTGAGCCCAGTCAACTAAAATGTTTTCCAACAGAACAAAATCAACTCCATCCCTTGAAAGCAGAGTGCTTTAGGCTCTCATGCCTAAAATAACAACCACTGGGGAGTGTGTTGAACCAGCTGTGGTATATCACTGCAACAGAACATTTTATTGTAATTAAAAGTAATAAATGAGTAATCTGGAGAAATGTGAATCATTAAATAATGCGCTATCCTAAGCGAATTACAAATACCTCAAAACAACCCTTGGAGGTAGTTCTGTTATTTCCATTTTACAGTTGAGGAAACTGAGGAAAACCAACTTGCCCAGGCTGAATGGACAAGAACAACGGAAGACGATACTGAAGGCAGACGTTAGATGGTTAATGACTTTTAAAAAATGTAGCTATAACTGGAAACTTAATTCGTTTTATTGTTGCTTAAGCACCACCTGTGATACTTTTTAACCTGATCTCTCTAATTGTCAGTGTTTACCTCTCAAATTACTTTCTATGTATCATGTGTGTAGATACTCCAACCTTCCCCATAAGATGTAAACTCGAGGGCAGGAGCTCAAAATTTCATTTTTGTCTTGTACACGCAGTGCCTGGTACAGTCCTTGGCAATTAATAAGTAGTTGTTGATATTGTTGTATTAAGCTAGAATGGTTTTTGGGCCACACCTGTGCTTTTTTTTGTTTGTTTGTTTGAACTTAGAACTATTTGAATTGGG